AAGTACAAGTACAAGTACAAGTACAAGTATAAGTATAAGTATAAGTATAAGTATAGGTATAAGTATAAGTATAAGTATAAGTATAAGTATAAGTATAAGTATAAGTATAAGTATAAGTATAAATATAAGTATAAGTATAAGTATAAGTATAAGTATAAGTATAAGTATAAGTATAAGTATAAGTATAAGTATAAGTATAAGTATAAGTATAAGTATAAGTATAAGTATAAGTATAAGTATAAGTATAAGTATAAGTATAAGTATAAGTATAAGTATAAGTATAAGTATAAGTATAAGTATAAGTATAATATAAGTGGCATTAATTTAACATATTCTTCAAATTCAAATTAGATTTGCAGCCCTGGTTGTAGGAAAACTCCCTATTGACATACCGTAAGCATTATGTATAAGTGTAAGTATGAGCTTAAGTATGACTAGTATACAAATATGTATGTCAATGTGTTCACAGATCCGATTTTGGGTCATGTCCAAGTTTTGCGGTGTGATTTTATGTGTAAAACTTAAATTATACAATTTGGGTGTCATGAATACATTTTTATACCTCATCTTTGTTGTTGTTGTGGTTCTTGCTGCTGATGTTGCCGCTGAAAGGGACAATGAGTTGCTAAATGCTTTGAATATTCTTTTGGTCATTGCTCAAGCTGCATGCATAATATAAAAGCGATATGTTGCCAAGATATTTACACTTCTTCCACACACACACACACACACACATAGCCACATACGCTCTCTTACACTCGTATACACATGTATAAGAGCTTTTGATGTGCTGACAGGTTGAGTATATGTCATGTGGTTTTGTCCTGAAGAAAATGCTGTATGGCCTACGTTTGCTGTCATTGCAATACAAGTTTTGGTTGCTGCAAGTAAAATGTTTCAAATATTTAAGATAAATGGAAATAAATTAAATCTTGCATTTCCAGAGGAGGAGAGTATATAAGAATCTTGAATGCATGCTGATTGAAAGCATTGTACTACAAATATAACTTTGGTGCAGTCGTGCATACCCGACTGCACTGCAGAGCAAACTGAATGTTGCTTTTGTGTTTCTGTCTCTTGTGGTGAGTGAGTTTTGTTTATTTTGTTTTGTGTCTTATAAAATGAATTAATGTGGTAGATTTTGTTCGCCGGCGCCCTTAATCGTAAGCCTCTTCAAGCACATAACAAAGTGCGCACTTTGTTAACATTAAACATAAAGTCGGCAATAAAGCGATGGCGCCGGCTGCAAATGGCTGCTCCTAGCGCTTAATGTTGTTGTTGTTGCGGCTGGTGCTGTTGTAGTTGTTGTTGTTATTGGCTTTACAACTTTTTCTTTATGCCCATGTGTACACACCGTTATAAAGAGAGGGAGACAGAGAGTGAGAGTATGTTACATTGCATTGCACTCAAAATGGCGTTCAGCTCGTTACAAAAGGCAACGCGGCGCAACAAGCGAAAAAAAAGAAACGGATAATAACAACAACGGGAAGCAAAAAGCTCCAGAGAGTGGGAGAGCCAGAGAGCGGGAGTGTGAGAGAGCTGAAGAGCTGGTCTCTGCAGCAGCTTTGGCTTAATTCAATTATGTGTGGTGTACACACTGGCCAGACG